TCTATCTCCTTTCGTTCATCCTCTCTATATGTCCAAACCATCTCAACATACCTTTCTCAATCCTCGACACTACATCTTCTTTCACTCCACAACGTTCCCGAAAATTAACTTAATAAACTTTACTTAAAGTTTTAAGTCTTAGTTAAATAGTAGGTACATTGAATAAAACTTGATATCATACTTAATAATGATATTATTTATTGATGAAATTAAATTCCTTACAATTTACCTTACAATATCCATAAAATTAAATCATGACAATGACTGACAAACACTAATGTGAACAATGGCCTTGCATCTCCTTGGAAAGTTTGGATAAGTCAGGTTTGTATGTTGTTGTTTTTAATTTTAAGCACGATTCCAGGTTCTCATCAATAAGACGACTTCTCAATTTACTCTTGATAAGGCTCATGCTTGAAAATGATTGTTCACATAAATATCAAGCATATCCCAGAGCCCGCCTGCGCCGCGTCTCCCGTCGCCAGACCGACCGACACCCCCCACTTCTTCTAACGCCACTTCTTCAAAATAGACTCGCCCAGGCCGAAAACCGACTTCTGCGCATGGGCCACGAAGTTTCCGTCGCACTGTACCTGCGTGCCCGCACGTGGTATTTTGTGGAAGAGCCACACTCAAGGGGGCAAAGAGCCACATGTGGCTTGCGAGCCACAGTTTGCTGACCACTGATCTAGGTGAACATCTCTGGCTTTCAGATAAGGAAACTGAGGAACAGAAAGGACAAATGATTGGCCCAAGTTCACAGCCAACCCAAGGCTAAAGTCAAGATTCCTCTCATTTTCATTCACCCTCCTTCCTGCCTTTCCCTTTCCTTCCTTTCTTCTTTCCTTCCTTCCTTCCTTCCCTCCATCTTTCCTTTCTTTCTTCAGTTTCCACATGTATTATGAATCTGTTAGGAAGCAGGATGCTAAGAATATCCTATATAATAAAAGCATAGTGTGCAAATTGTCCCCTCAACCAGAGTTTTTCTGAGAGTTTCACCAGGGGGTGGGCTGGCGGGGGGAAGGTAGGGAGGCCCCGGCCGGCAGCTGGCAGCCGGCAGCTGCTAGGTGCCCCAGCAGTGCACCAATTTCATGCACTGGCCCTACTTCCTTTATCCATTTTCAGGGAATTAATTTGCTAGAGAATGACCAAACAACTATGTAGGGGAACATTCTCAATCGTCCACAAATTGACTCCCAATGTCATTGATTAATTATTGAAATTTGACTGGAAAATACATTTGCAAATATGGAAACTTTCCATGACCAGGTTCAGATAATTTCATGAGAGAAAAGACCTTATGAATCTTTACAGATTCATAACTGTGAATTGTACTGCAAAAAACTTCAATAGGATATTGAAGGTGTTAATGTGTGTCCACCCCTAGTCCAAAACATTATCATTTGTGTGTATGTCATTGCACAAATTTTTTTTTAAAAAATTTAATATATTTTATTGATTTTTTACAGAGAGGAAGGGAGAGGGATAGAGAGTTAGAAACATCGATGAGAGAGAAACATCGACCATCTGCCTCCTGCACACCCCCCACTGGGGATGTGCCCGCAACCAAGGTACATGCCCTTGACCAGAATCAAACCCGGGACCCTCCAGTCCGCAGGCTGACACTCTATCCACTGAGCCAAACCAGTCAGGGCTCATTGCACAAATTTTTATTGAGGACCAACTTGCCAGGGATGTACTAAGTACTGGGTTTAATATGGTAAAGAGAACAGATATGGTCCAATGGTTTCTGCTCTCACAAAGCTTATAGTCTACTATCTATAGGAGACTAAATCCCAGGTAAACTATCCCATTTCACTTCAGCAAGTCATATTTTTAGGTTATGGAAATCAGGGAGTATACAAACATTTTCTAAAATTACTCTGCCCACCATAAGGGAAATAAATAATATGGACTTGGGTCTAGGTAGGAATGAAATTAAATCCCAACTCTACCATTTACAACCTATTCACTTCCCTGAGCCCAATTGCTTCTATAAAATGAAAATAATATGTAGCCCTTTTGAAAGATGATGTTTTATCATTATCCTTATTAACACCTAAACAGAAACTTTACTTCTTGAGTCAAAAGTATGAATTATATAGTCCTTTTCCTAAAGTTTAGGAAAATTATTTTTAAAAAACATTAATATGTTCACTTAATTTTATTAAGAATGTCATTTTCTAGAATTAATTCAGAAAAATATTTATGGCCATTGACATTTTAATATTTCTTTAAATAAGGTGAAATTCTCTGACAATGGATACTACTTCAACAGGATAACTTTAAGGCTATTTTGTTCCATGAGTGAACATGGCCTTGTTCCACAGAAACAAAATTCTGTTATTTCACTTAAAATGAAAGAATCTGGTATGACCATTATTTATCTATATAAGGGATTGTTTAAACAAAGACAACAGACCCCAAATGGAGTCCCTTGTGCTAAGGTCAGTAAACTAAAACTTGATACCTAACTTCATTGCAATTTCAGCCTCTTCCAGGAATGTAATCTTAATTGATCAGTCTATAATTTTCTGGTCAGCACTAGTGAGATAATCCACCTGGTAGACCTCTTTCATGCCTTAAAGCAGTGGTTCTCAACCTTCTGGCCCTTTAAATACAGTTCCTCATGTTGTGACCCAACCATAAAATTATTTTCGTTACTACTTCATAACTGTAATGTTGCTACTGTTATGAATCATAATGTAAATATCTGATATGCAGGATGGTCTTAGGCAACCCCTGTGAAAGGGTCGTTCGACTGCCAAAGGGGTTGCGACCCACAGGCTGAGAACCGCTGCCTTAAAGAAAGGTGACCCTGTCTGAAACAATTTGGTCTTTCCTTGTTCTTCCCACTTTTCAGCCTATAAAATCCTTCCATTTATACAGCTCCTGGGAGCATCTTTCTGTTTTCTAGGTGGGATGCTGACCAATTCATGAATCATTAAATAAAGTCAATATGATATTTAAATTTATGCAGTTGAATTGTTTTTTGAAAGGATTTTATAGTAAACTAGAGGCCTGGTGCATGGATTCGTGCACTGGTGGGGTCCCTTGGTGTGGCCTGCAGGGATTGGGCTGAAACCAGCAGTCTAGCGCCACCTGCCGCTCCTGCCTGCCGCTCTCGCTCATCCTGGCCCCACTGCTTGCCACAGGCTCACACCCAGTCATTCCCAATCAGGAGAGGCTCACACCACCGCAGCGGTGCTCACCAGCCGTGAGCCCTGCGTCTGGCGCCCGTTGGTCAGCTGAGTGGTGCTCCTGGTGTGGGAGTGCACTGACCACCAGGAGGCAGCTCCTGCATTGAGCATCTGCCCTCTGGTGGTCAGTGCGTGTCATAGCGACCAGTCAACTGGTCGTTCAGTTGTTTGGTCACTTAGGCTTTTATATATAGAGATTGTATATAAGTGTATTCCTCCACCTATTTAATGGCTTGACAAGAGTCACGTTTTACTCAGCTCTCCCTATTCTCCCACGCAGTGGTACCTTGTATAGAGTTAAAGCACACTAAATGTGTCAGTATAAAGACCATCTTCTTGCTATTTGACATGTAAGCTGAGGGAGAAAATCTACCCTAAATTATAGGTAAAATTATTTTGTTTTACTTCAAGTAATACTTATCAAACAAATCCTATAACATTCTTGCTAGGGGAAAAAAGGTAGTTAAATTGCCTAATCTTTACTCAAACCAAAGCAAAGCTTCAAAAATATTTAGACAGAGATGAGGAATAGGGCAGATGTGAGGGAGAACTGCTATGTTTGCACATGCTGTGCATGCAGCAGCCCAACTTCCTTTCCCTGTTGTACTATTTTTTTTCAATGTTTTTATTGATTTCAAAGGGAGGAAGGGAGAGGGAGAGAGAAGTATAAACATCAATGATGAGAGGAAATCATTGATCAGTTGCCTCCTGCATGCCCCCTACTGGGGATCAAGCCCAAAACCTGGGTATGCGCCTGGACTGGTACTGAAACTGTGACCTCCTGGCTTATAGGTCGATGCTCAACCACTGAGCCACACCAGCCAGGCTGTTGTACTATTTTTTAAGTCTGTTCCACAGAACATCAGTTCTAGGGTTTCAAGGTCAGGTTAAGGGAACTTTGCCTAGCATTTACCTTTCTTACAAGTTCACAGTGTACATTAGTAAATTAAAAGCTATTGAAAGTCTTGCCTATACTAAAGAAAACTGTTTAAAAAGGTTTTGCCTCACATTCCCCAAATTTATTTGACCAATGTTTCACCTGTAAACATCCTGCAGAGCTTGTAGGTGCTGTGGAACACACTGACTTCAGGAAACTGTCCCACTGTGTTCAAAGGACACCTTGTTAAATCACACACATACACATTCACATTCTCTCTCTCTCTCTCTTTCTCTCTCTCTCTCTCCCCCGACTCCTCTCGTTTTTCCCTGTTATTTTATCTCCAAATAATGAAAACCAGAATGTGAGCATTTACAGCAATTTTTAACTATGGAAAAATGACTCCACTTCGGAGGTCCCAGAATGTTAACACAATTGCATTTTACTTACGTAAGAAGAGGTCAATTTGAGTTCAGGAAATGGCTCCCCAGCAACGCCTGGAATGTTGGCATAAACACCGATAAACAGACATCCAAATCCTGTTTTGTGTCTGAGAGGGATAGAGAGGGGTTGGGGGACAAAATTATCACCATCAAATCTCTGATATTTCTCACAGTTTTCTACAAATCAATATGCAGTATCCATTTTCCTTCAAGTCCCATTTTGGGATTTTCAGGTTATTTTGTGTGTTTCTAATTCTTCTCTCTAGATGGCAGCACAGATGAAAAAATGCAAGAACACCTCAAAGCAGACTGGCTTCTACAGCAGCAAACACCTATCAACAGCCTGCCCCCAATTCACCCTTCCTTTTTGAAGAAATGAACAGAACCTAAGGTATGATGGTTGACAATTTTTTGAAATGGATTTAATCATTTATATGGAGATGGAAAGAATTAATGATAAGCTGATAATCTGTGAATTAGGAAACTGACCACTCATGCTAGATGTGTTTTCTGAATCTTATAATGCCATCAATATTCCTGTGTCATACAGAGTGCCAGATAAGATGATTATATGCATCATTATGCTTGGCATCTGATACAGCCAAACAGCAAGCCACCTGGTTTTCTCTAAGTATTGGATTCATTTAAGATATATAATGATGCTATTTACTGACCATTTTGTCAACCAATGCTTTGAACCTGCTGTGAAGTCATCACCATGTCACCAGATGCTGCACTGAAGGTTAGGAAGTTAGCATGAAGGTAACACTTCATTAAAAGCATGTAACTTATGGCTGAGTTAATAATTCAAGAGAAAAGGAGTGGAACACACTCAGAAGATCTTTATCGTTTACAGCAAAGCCCCACTAAAGATTTTTTTTAAACCTTTACTTTTTCTGGTATCATGAATCTCTTCATTAAACAATAAAATGGAGTCTTCCAGCAAGATGTTCACAACAAAATCCGCTGACAGAGAGAACATAGGAAGCTGGTGCCTTCCAACATATGGCATTTAAAAGGCTCTAGAGTGCTCCAAAGAACACTAAATTGTTCATGTGTAATGACCTGGACAGAAGCTAAAATGTGACCTTTACCCTTTGAATAAACAAAAAGACTCACCGTGGGGAGTGAAAATAAATATAGCACGTAAATAAACCAACCCAAGGCCAAGTGGATTGTGGTTCATATTTAAGAAAAGTTCAATTTGGTAATGTATCAAAGTCTTTTTAATTTTATTTATTTTCGAATATAGTTTACATTCAATATTATTTTGTATTAGTTTCATGTATGTAGCATAATGGTTAGGCAATCATATACTTTACAAAGTGGTCCCCCTAATATTTTAAGTACATAGTTATTACAGTATTATTGACTATATTCCCTATGCTGTACTTCACATCCTGTGATTATTTTGGAACTACCAATTTATATTTAATCCCTTTGAATTTTTCACCCAGCCTCCCAACCTCCTCTCTTCTGACAACCATAAGTCTGATTTCTATCAGAGTCCTTTTTATATTCTCTCTCCTTTTTTTTTTTTAACTAAAGTAAACATTCCAGGAAATTACTCTAAACACCACATCTTCCTTGAAGAAGTGCCTTGTTATTTTCCTTGTATTAAAATTGGTTAATGCTATGATGACTTGCTATCTGCCTTTCCCAGAACAACTCCTGGTGCTCCAAGGTTACTTACTGGCTGCTTTTCCCTGGGCTTTAAGTTTTGAGACAAAACCAAAACCAAACCCTAAAAAGAACAGGCAGAGAGGCACTGAGACAGTGCAGAATGTGAGCAGTGAAGGAAGCTGGAATGTTGAGTCTGTGTGAGTCTCAGAGGCCATCCCATCCCACACCATCCAGAGCTACAGGCCAGGAGCCACCTCTTAGCTTTGAGCCTTTCCCTGGAATCAAGACTCAGCTCATTCCTTCCTGGGACCCAGGAGTCTTGGAGGTGTGACATACCATGACAATGCTGAATCTTAAGAAGCCTGACCCACCAATTCTCCTGTATCTTTGCAGCTGTCAAACCCACCACCCCTCAGGCCTTTGATGTCCTTGATGTGCCCAAAAGGGAAGCCCTTTCAATGAGTTATCCTGTTATGACCTCTATCCTCATACTTGACTCAGCCACCCACTCCATGCTGTGCTAAACTTTTCCTCTGTGATCTCAAGAATCCCATTCCATCATCAACAAAGTCCGGGTTAACCCTAGCCTTTTCACTGAACATTCTTTAGCTTTCTAGCCCTAAGAAACCTGGCTTTCCCCCACAAATACACTGCTTCCTCAGCAGTCCTCCCAAGTGGAGGCTACTAGGTCAGATTCTGTCACACGCTGCCACATCCATAGATCTTAGTTCTGCCCTCTGTTACCCAGGCTATGAACCATTATGTCATACCCTTGAACCCAGCTGTCTTCTACGAATTGCCTGGCCATACCCATTATTTATTGAAGATATTGGCAAAGGACCCATAATATTCTTTTTCATGCCAAATTCTGCCAACAACCTGCCACATTTGGTATATCCATGAGGCATGCTTGACCTCTCAGTTTCTTGATTCCATTTCTGATTACCTTCTCCATTCTGTTTCAATCACCCAATCCCATGGCCACCCCCAGGCTTTGTCATCAAGAAACCACAGCACTTCTCAACCCATGACTTTCTGTTCCCCTAGTACAGCGGTTCTCAACCTGTGGGTCGCAACCCCTTTGGCGGTCGAATGACCCTTTCACAGGGGTCTCCTAAGACCATTCTGCATATCAGATATTTACATTATGATTCATAACAGTAGCAACATTACAGTTATGAAGTAGCAGCGAAAATAATTTTATGGTTGGGTCACAACATGAGGAACTATATTTAAAGGGCCAGAAGGTTGAGAACCACTGCTCTAGTACTTTTCATTTGGTTATTTTTTACTTTGTTGACTTTCCAAATCTATTAAAACTTCTACTCTTTCTTCTTTTTCCTTACCTATTATCCATTTGCTGTCTCTTTTGTTCTCTACTCAGGAAGGATTTCATGCTTTATGACTTTACCTCTGACCTGTGTCCTCAACTCAATTTATTTTTAAGTCTTATTTGTTGATTTTAGAGAGGAAGGGAGGGAGAAAGAGAGAATTTATTATTCCACTTATATATGCTTCATTGGTTGCTTCTTGTATGTGCCCTAATGGGAGGTTGAACCCGCAATCTTGGCATATTGGGGCAGTGCTCTAACCAACTAAGCTACTTGGCCAAGGCCTCAACTCCATTGCTCCCTCATTCTTCTGTTTCATCTACTGACAAACTTTGAACATGTACCTTGCAATCAGTTGTCTGCCTTGGCCATTTATTTACCTGGCCTACCGGACTCTGCTGAAAAACACACACAACCACACAGATCGAGCTACCCTAAAGTCATGCTCAGCAGCCTCAAGTACGACTCCGTGCTGTCTGCAGCCTTACCACAGTGCCCTGACATACTTGCTCTTTCTTTCAAATCCCCAGTGGCTATTTCAAGAATCCTTCTCTTTTTCCAAACCTCCATGCTTGCTCTTTCTATTGTTCTTTGTAGGTGGTTTTATTTGCCACTCATTAAGGGGAGACATAGAAGTTATGGGACATAAGCAACCTATAAATTTGCATCTTTACCCACCTTGCCTCTTATTATAAAAGATGTTCTCCTCCCCCATCTAAGGCAGATCTCTTGGCCTGTGCTCTGAATCCCATCTCTTCCTGACTTGTCAATGACCTCACTCTCAGTAACTCTTTCTCACTCTTAGCTATCTATTCATCCTCTTCCTCTCAACTGGCTCCTTCCTTCTCAGGTTAAAAAAGCCACATTCCCTTCCATCTACAGCCCTTTCATCCCTGGCCAGCTAAACTTCTTGGAAAAGTTATCTCCATTCACTGTTCCAACTTCCCATTCACTCTCCCAGATTTCTTTCTCCAGGTTAACCAGTGATCGATGTGGAGCTAAATTCAAGAGACTCTTTTCAGTTCTCTTTATTTGACCTTATGCAGCATTTGACATGTCCTTCATATCCAGATAGCTATATTTTAATCAGTTCTGCCTATATGTTCCATTGCCACCTTAAACTAAAACTGAACTCACTCTCTTTAAACCTGTACCTCTTTCTGAATTCTCCCTAATTTGTGGCAGGCACTACCATGGATTCATTGATGCAGCCAGAAATGTGTATGCTATCCCTGACTGATTTCTTTTCACTATCTCTCACATCCAATTGCACCCCATGAACTCTTGATTTTGTTTCGCATATCCTGTAACTTGTATCCTTCCTCTGCACCCTCACACCTTACATAACGCCCCCCCCCCTATCTTCCTGTATCCATTCTTTCTTTCAAACCATTCCTCACACAGTAGCCATGTGATTGTAACAAGCAAGACACCACATAGGTACATGAGTCCTGAAACACTCGGGTATGCAAAAATGGAACATTTTTTCCTGGAGCAATTTACTGTCTGAATTTGAACCTCCAGCCTTCTTTTTGGCAGCCAATTTATTCTAAATGCTCTAAAGTGAATCCAGTGATTTGTCTGAAACTGAGATTACCTAAGTATTTCAGTTCGTAATTCAATTTGAGACCTTCCCTCCCCTCTTCTTGCCTCTTACTCTTGGTCTCCTGGGGCTGGCTGCCCAAGGGAAGTGGAGAAGAGGATGGAGGTCCATGTGTGATTGGCTCTATGCTGTGATGGAGTGGGAACTCTCCATCTAGTCCTATGTGGAGTGGTCCTAATTCTAGCATGAACTGCTAATGCCATTCTTGTCTATCCTTGCAGGATAGGCAGGGCCCCGTGTGCCCTCTAGATTTTTGGACCCTGCTGGCTCTGACAGATAGTAATGGGTTGGCGGGTGCACATGCAGATACGTTTCATGTAGCTTCATCTCTCAGAGGAGCAGCCATGTCTCCCACAACCCCAGTGGGCAATTCAGGAACATCTCTTCCTTTTGTCGAGTGTATCTTCTTCCAAATCAGTTCATTTCTTCTCCCCTCCCAGCACAGAAGGGAAAAACAATTCACAATTTGTGTGAATTGTTTAATCTCATTGATTTCATCTCTGAGTTAACGTGCAAAACCTTTGTATTTGAATTTTGTAATGTAGAGTTTGGGGCTCTCTCAGCAACAGACCATCTCCACAATAATTAATGTGCTTTCTACTCTACAGACAAAAGCATCTGGGGGAGTGTGTGTGTGTGTGTGTGTGTGTGTGTGTGTGTGTGTGTGTTGGTGGGGTGGCATGGTGCAGGTTGGCAGCCCAGAACACAAGGAGAGAGCTAAATGGAGAGAATACATTCCATTTATACTTCACATATCATCCTGTCACATATTCTCTCCAAAGCATAAATCTGATTAGGTTATTCATTGTTTAAAACCTTCCTATAGCTTCCCCT